ACTGAAGAAAATGTTTTTAATCTCCCTCAGCCACTTGAAGCCATTTCCTTGTCCTATTGCTGGTTTTGTGGGAGAAGAGACCAACCACGGCCTGATTACAATCTCCTTTCAGGGATTTGTAGAGTGTGATAATGTCTCCCCTGAGCCTCCTCCTCTCCAGACTCAGCAATGCCAGTACTCTCAGTCACTCCTTGTATGACTGACATTCCAAACCCCTCAAACAGCCCTCCTCTGGATGTATTCCAGCACCTCAAAGTCTGCCTTGGAGTAAGGACAATAACACTAACAATGTACCCAAGGTGCAGCCTCACCTGTGCTTGGTACAGGGGGACAATGTAGTCCAAGACCAGCCTGTTCCAACCCACATGCCACGAGTAGGGACACTTTCCACTGGTTGTCCCAAGCCCCATCCAGTATGGCCTGGAACACATCCAGGGATGGGGCAGCCACAACTTCTCTAAAGAACCAGTTCCAGTGAACAGCCTCACAGGGAACAATTTCTTCCCAATATCCCATCTAACCCTGTTCTCTAGCAGTGGGAAGACATTCCCCCTTGTGCTATCACTCCAGGTATTTGTCCAAAGTCCCTCTCCAGTTCTCTTGGAGCCCCTAAAGGCACTGGAAGGGGCTTTAAGGTCTCCCCAGAGCCTTCTCTTCCACAGCCTGAACAATCCCCGTACACAATACAAAGCATATTTTTGGGGTAGCAGGAAAGAAGTGGCATCAAGGGCTGCCACTGAACACTGAAAACTGAGCAGCAGATGCATGCTCAGCCAACTTCATGTATATTCATATCCAAGAAAGCATACCAGCCTAAGACATTTGTGTCTAATATTTAATATTGGAGTAAAGAAAGGATATGTGAGCAAGGAGCAGCCATCAGAGAGTGGCCACATTTCTTGACACAGGGACCCAGCTGAGGAGTGGTGACTGATCAGCCCAGCTAGGCTGCAGCACACAGTTTGTTGCAGCCTGATTTCTGCAGCCTAAGATAACTCCTTCCCACATTTGGCTTGATTCCAAGACTGCTCTGGGAAAAATCACTAATAAACAGTTCTGTTATCTCTGCAAGGTTTCAGGGGCTGGATGCTTTTGCATGCATGGCAGAATTTCTCTTTCCTTGAATTCATTAGGGAGACTTAAATAGCCTTTGAAACATGATACATTGCACCCTGCTCATAAAGAAGATTCATATTTTTGCTTCTTTTCTCACAAAAGAGATCTCAATTTTATAATCTGACATTATTTTTCATTTACTCAAAGCTGGTAGTGATTTTTACAGGCAGGAGCAACTGAACTACTTAATTAAAGGATGAAAAAGTGCTTTTATCCAAGAAATCTCTGAGAAGGGGAATATTTACATTTCTTTCCCAGTGGCTGATTTGTTGTATTGAAAGTTTTACTTGCAGCTTAACAGAGCAGCTTCTTTAGACTTTTCTCCAGACCATTTTTAATTGGTTATGAAAGTCTGATGGTGGTATATAAGCAGAGTTTGGCTGGAGTCAGTGTGGCAGTAATTCTTGTTTGCAGGACACTTGGATACTGGTTGCAAAAATCAGCTCCACAATCAGCTTTTCAGCACTTCAAAGAGGCCTTAAACCTCAGGTTTGAGTTTAGTTCCATGACTTTGAAATCTGGACATATCCTGAACACTTGGAGGCATGCAGATTTCTAAACCATTTCTAAATTCCAACAAGCTAAGAATGTCCAAAGTGTCTTAGAAAATGTTTCAGGCATGTTCTGAAGAAGGCTTTGAAATCCTTTCAGGAAAGAGCTCTTAAAGGGCTTTTGAGTAATCAGGGGCTCATTTTCTGAGTGGATTTTCATATAGTTCATCTACAAAGTAATTCCTTTGCCTGCCTGAAAAACACACAATAATTGTACATAACACGATCCCTCACATTAGAGGGATCACCAATTAGATTATCCTTTCCACCCACCTGGCAGTGCAGGATTGTTTCCTACAGCATACAGAGAACTCCAACACATCCAAGGTGTTGCAACTTAACCATCAACCTCCATCCTGTTTCCAGCACGCTACGAGCAAGAACCAGACCTTGGGGAGAGGCAGGAGGAAAAGGACTTTCCCTGGATATGCTGCAAAACTGCTCATTTTTTGTCACAAAAATGCATCAATATGAATATTTTAATCTAGGGACAGGAAAAGGGGGTGTTAGTGGCAGATCCCTTTGGAGGCAGAAAGTAGGGCTGGAAAATACTGAAGATGCCCAGATCAAAGTCTCCTGAACTGTGGACACAGGAGACTGCACTATACAGCCCACGCATGGACTGACCTCTGTACCTAGAAAAAGGCCAGAAAGGATATGGGAAGGTGGCTGAAGACAGAGTAGACCAAATGAGGGACCACAACAACAACAAAAAAACCCCACCTTTTTTACTTCATTGGCATGACTGGCCTTAAAAACTAGACTACTTGGAAACAGTGGGATTTACCTTCAGAAAATTTTTATGTACATAAAGATAAAATGTTCAAATGCCTCCAGGACATGTCTCATTTAATAAAAACATGCTTGAGCTATTCCCATGTGAACATTTTTACATCATTCTGAAGTATAAACCACATTTTGTCATGTCCTCTCTCTAACAGCATTCCTTTTGTGCTCCTTCTACCTTATCCCTGTAATTAGACATTATCTCTGCAGCCCTGTGGCAGACTGGAGCAGAGGCACCACATTTAAAATGCATTTAGGTGCCCTCTTCATGAGAGAAAAATTACAAAGAGAAAAAGGCATCCATAGGAGGAGGAGACTAGAGAAGATCTCCCTTTCCTTGCTCCCCCCAGGAAGCATGGACCAATCTTCAAACACACTGTTTTTATTTTACATCTATTTCCTCTAGTAATTTAGTTCAGGAAAGGAGTTGCTACGGCTTGTATAACACATGCCAATTTTGAAACACCTTCTCAAGAGGCTGCAGATGGACTGTAATGAAAACAAGCCCAATCACACATGACCTTAAAACTTGGCCTGAGTGATGCCTGAAGCTCAGCACAGGGCTATCTCACCCTCCTTCCCTCCCAAGGCCATCACCATCTTGCACATCTGACAGTGAGGAGTATTTTTGTCAAGTTCCTTTTCAAAGTCATCCCCTCCCGCCTTAATATCTTGGTCTTCTAAATCCTCACTCAATCTCACTTCCTGTGGACCCTTGGCTGGCAGGTCCACAACCATGGCTGTCATCCAGCTCAGGATAAACGGACGCCTGCAATACACATTTTCCTTTCCTCAGAAGGAAAAAAAATATCATTCAGGACCTTGACATATATTTCATCCCTAGATGGGATAAAAAGTTGAAATCTGCTGTAAAATAAGATTAGATGAAGAAGTCACTCCTCCCTGTCCCTTGAAAGGATTTCAGCTCATGGAAAATGTTTTACTTGGCAAATCTGTAATGAATTCAACTTTGTTTTGACAAAACCTGTTCATTTAATGCAAATAATCTTCACCAATTTTTTTCCTTGCAAAACAGAAAGGCAGAACAAAGAGGTCATTTTCAAGGCACAAATATATCGACATCCATGCAAATCCACAAAAACTTCACTTCCACTAAGATGCCATTTTCTTTCAGAAACCTGTTTCAACACATGCTTTTTCCTAGCTATTCTTAGTGAGTTATAGACATCTTCACTTGATAATTAATGCTACACTGCTGAACTGGTGACAAAGCTCAGCCTGGTGTTCCCACCACAGAGCTGTCAGATACATGCTGTTGTAGAGCAGTCCAGGCATTGATGTCAGAGGATACAGGACGTTAACTGGGGACAAAAAAAGACAGTCTTGTCTCATTCAGCTGCCTTTCTACTGATCAGTTCCACCAGTTACATGCTGATGCAGAATCACAGAATCATGTAGGCTGTAAAAGCCCTCTAAAATCATCAAGTCCACAGCACTGCCAAGCCCACCACTACCCCATGTCCCCAGCTGCCACCATCCCACATGCATATATGGTTTATCTTGTCTGCATTTGGGTCATTTCATTTCAGCAAAATCTTCTCTCCATTGAATCATAATGGTCCAATACAAGTATGTCCACTACATTAAAAGGAAGGCATCACAAAATAGGCCAGGCACATACTCCTTGCCACTTGCTGAGCCTCCACTGTGAAATAACAGAAGGAGCAAAGAAGGATTATGAGAACTATCTAAAGAAAGGTAAATCAGCAAGAGAGGCTGAAATCCAGCCATTGCAGCCACCTAACAAAAAATTAGGAAAATTATGGAAACATAACACTTTTTTGGCTGTTGATGGTTCAGCTCTAGAGAGATCAGATGGGTCTGCCCACCTAGAGATGCTCACATTGTTGAAATGTTGAATGTTTGTCTTGGAGGAAATAAAACAGATGGTGGGAAGAGAAAGGCATGTGTGCTACCTGTGAAAGGGGATAGTATGCTGCCCAGTGGAGGCTGGGCTTGGCCATAATGGCCTGAAATCCCCAATATTAATGCAATAAAGAAATTCCTCTGCAGAGTCATAAGCAATACAAACACATCTAGACGTTTCATATGCAGTAGAAAAAAAATTAAATATCATCTTTGCAGTTTCGGGCTGGTTTTTTTAAGGCAGTCTAGGAATACTAGTTCTAACTGGGCTAACATTTAACATTAACATTTGCCTAATTAAGGGAGCCTTAGAGTAACAACTCTTGTAATCAGCAGTGACTGCAAGAAATTACTGAGACTCAACACAGCACAAAGCAGCTACTTGGTCCTTACAAGTTCTCATGGAGGTAAGCTGCCCAGGGAATTTTGAAATGTATCTTGTGCCTGACTGTGTAATGGAAAATAAGTCAGCAAGCCCTGTCTTGGCCACAGCCATCATTAACAGGGCTAGGAATTGGTAAACCATACTGTATGTTAGAGATGTGCTTTACCTGCATGTATATGTCACCTCCTTGATTGCCCCTTATTCATACATGTTCCCCTCTTGCCCTTTCCTCTTTGGGTCAGAGTACAGTGAGTACCCACTGCAGAATTCCTCACCTGTCCTGGGTCCCGTGTGACCCCACTTTTTCATTCTTCATGCAGAAATCGGGTGAGCTCTGCAGGTAAATCAGCTCTGTCTCTTTAACTGGCCTGATATCAATATCCTTTGGCACAAGGTATTTGCGTGTGCCCATGGGCCGGTGAACAACCTTGGTGGCAGACAAGTATTTGGTTTTGAGGTCCAGTGCAATGTCTCGCAGTTCTTGAAGGCCCTTCCAACAGGTCTTGATAGAGCATGACCCAGAAACTCCATGGCACTTACATTTCATTTCAAGAGAGGCTTTCAAGACCTGCAAAAAGGAATGCAGGAGTTAGGAAATGCCCTTCTCTTACAGCAAAACATCCCACAAGCTTGCTAGTGAAGGCACTTCCTTAGCAGGAACTGCTATAGAAAAGTACTACTGTTCTCATTTCTGCACAGGCAGTCTAGTGTAGCTACTTTGAAAGCAAATGAGATCCTACAGCTCTTTGGTGATCACTATCAGTCCAGGACTACTTTCACAAGAGCTCCTTTGCAGCCAGAAGACAGAAAACTATTTTGAATTTTGATTATATATCTATATTGGGCTGCATTTTCACCCTCCAAATTCCTAAGGAGGTGAATATAAAAACATTCCATGAATAGATAAATAACATCAATTTCAACCTCCAGCAGCTTTGGGCTTTGGTAAGAGAGATGTCATGGCTTTGTTGAATTCAGTACACTCTCACCCTGCCTTTCTGCTGGTCATGGGGCCAAAACAGCCTTTTACTTTGATTCTGCACAATTCTCATTTCAGTGGGACATGGCAGGATGCTGCCAGGAAGGGCTAAATGCACCAGCCATGGCAACGCAGTGTCCCAGACAAAAATGTGCCCTTTGCAATTGAAACAAAAAATCAAGACAATACAAAAATAAAATAAAATTAAAAAAAAACCCAAAACCTCAAACCCCAAGCAAACAAACCAAATAGCGTGGGAATAGTAGGGGGAAAAAAAAAAGAGCCAGAGAGGGAAACTTCAGCATGGTTGTGCTCTGCAAAGGTGGACAATGAGCTCAGCATGCTCCAAGTTTGTCTGCACAGGCAGTCCTGGAAAGACCAAGCTGTGCAGCAGGAGCAGTCCATGGAACCACTGGAACCTCAGAGATGGGTGCAGGGGTCAGTTTTATAGCTCCCCCCCCCATCAATTTCTTCAGCTGTATGGACAGCTGCTATAGGGATTTGCACATCAGTGCACACCAGGCACTGCACATGGTAAATATTATCCCTTCACTGGATGCAAGCTGTTAAAAGCAGCTTGTGCCAGACATGAAAATAATCACTAGCATAGCAGTTTAAAAAGGAAAAAAATCCTCCCTCCTGCCTGCAGGGATGGCTGGAGGCAACTGCTGCTGGATGCATCTGGCAGATGATAATCCTCCACATTCACACAGCACTTCACCCCACAATGCCCTTGGCAGAGCACGATGGGACCCATCCCCACCACATCTCCTGGGGCAGGCAGAGCCAGAGCCAGCACTGACTGTGCAACAGGGGGCAATGAGACATCCCACCCACGGTTAAACAGGGCTAATAATGGCATTTGGGACTCCCTGAGTCACAGGGTGAGTTACACAGCTACAATTTTCAGAGGAATCTTTGAGAAACCTGCTCCTTTCTCTAGCTGATAGAGACACTGAACCTCACCAAGTGACCAACACTACAGATGATTGTACAAGTACAATAACTCTTGTGGATTTGTTACCTGTCTCCCTACTTCACTGTTGTGCAGATGCATCAGTTTATTGGCTTGTGATCCTGATTTTTTCATCTTCATGGGAGCATCTGAAAATTTGGACCCCATGATAAGACCATAGTTGAGGTTGTCTGCACATCCTCCCCATCGATACCCAGGTCCAGGTGTCTCACCTGGGATGGGACCACAGGAACAGCCAGGGAGGTCCCCGGTGGTGCAGGCTCTGGCAATGGTGTGGCTGATGGCAGCAGCAGAGAGGGCATATACAAATGCTGACTCCCTTGTGCCTGAAAGAGACAAGAACTCCAGCTTAGCCTGCTGGGCCAGATAAACATTCCCCAAAAAGAGACTCACACAGTCTGTGTCCCACAGAGCAGCCAGCACACCAACTCACTGCAGCTAAGATGTCCTATGGCACCACTGATTTGGAGCACATCTAAGTGACATCTTCAATGTAAGACAACACCCCAGCAGGGCAAGGAGTCACATGGATTTAGGCATCTTGTTCATTGTGGTGTGATTTGCTCTTGGAGCATGTGTTGGAGCATGACTTCCAGTGGGATGAGCAGACCAGAATGGTGGTCTGCTTTGTAAGAGTTGTGGTGGACAAGGCCTTGGATCCAAGAGCCTCTGGGCATGACTGGCACCATAATGATGAATGTGGCCTCAGAGAGCAGGAAAAGTGGGCTTTGCAGTCCCTCCATGGCCTCCCAGGAGCAAGACCCTTCCTATCTCCACCACATACACACACATACACAGAGGCTGACTCTACTGACTCCAGTCCCAGCTGAGCCAGCAGTGCTGTTTTACCTCTATCCAAGTCCAGCAGGTAGTTAGGAGCCAGCTCTATTGAGGAGCAGTTCCACCGCATGTCTGAGAAAGTTTTACGGCAGGTCTTTATCACTTCCCTTGCTGCCTGAATAATGGTCTGCATTAGCTCCAGGTTGCTGCGGCACAGCTGCACCTGAGAAACCACCAGGCCTTCAAGCTGCTTGCAGTGCTGGGTTTGATTCAGGGCCAGAGCCAAAGATGTCTTGGACAGAGCTCTGAGGAGACAAGCACATGCAAAAAAGCATTAAAACACAGTCTAGTCAGCTACATTCACCTGACTTAATTAAAGCTTTCTGTAAATAGGTGCTTAGATAAAGCTGGTGAGAAAGATGAACAACTGTGAAGAGTGATTTATCTCATATAAGTAGGTGTTTAATGTTGGTGGGAAGAAACACCCTTTAGCAGTGTGCAATTCTCTCCATTATTGAGGGGAGGCTGCACAAAGCTCCAGGGGTATATGTCAAGTCAACCGGATGTGTAAATCCTGTGGGGAAGGTTGTTTGCTGAAGAATGAAGAGCACAGACCTCCCAACAGAGTAAAAAATGACCCATCAGTTCCATGATAAAAGAAATCTGGATCCTCCAAGACTGTGGCATTTGGGAAAGAAAGCAACGTTGGTGTTATCAGTATTTTGTACTCAGCATCTGTCTCACACACTCTCAAAGGATTATGCTAAATGTCATGTAATTAATTATGGAGAAAATCCCCTGCAAGGCCTAGCGAAAAATCATCAAATTTGCAAAACATATGCTTTCACTTAGAGTTAATGCCAAGGGCCTCTACTGATTTAATCACTGTTGCAGATAGATAAGTCTGTTTCTCTAGACTCCAAAAACCATAGTGCTAAAGCTCAGTGGGAGTACGTGCAGAGAGAGCACCACAGTCAAATCTGAGAAGGGATCCATGAATACCACCACATATGTTACCAAGGAAGAGAAGAACAACATCCCACGGTGGTGGTTGTTCTACTGTCCAATTGCCAACTTTTCCAGGTTAAAAAAAGAACAAATGCTGACATGCATCTTACAGGGCCGTACTCTTCTTCCCTGAGCACCCACTATGATCAGCAGAAGCCAAGCGCGTAACTCTCTTTGTATCTTTTTGGCTCTCTTAGGGTAGTCATAAAGTTATTCATTCCCATAAAACAACTTTCTAGCAGGCTGAATCAATAATCTGATGGCATCTGATCATGGCAAAACAACTTTAACACATATTTCCTTCTGTGCTTGTTAAATGTATTGGCTTTCAGATTCATCCCAAGACATCTTGGTTAGTTTAGCTTATTAGCAAACACATTGTGGGGTGCATTTCACTTTATTACTGTAACATCCACATTCTTCAGAAGTTAAATGAGATGGAAACAGAGCTAAAATTGAGCCCTAATGAAAACTGGAGCTATTAAATCCTTGCTGGGGATGAATAGGCCTACACTGACAAATTCCCAGGTGACTGGGAGTTTGGCATTTCTGGCACCAGATAAACAGTGGCAAACTTGGAAGGGAAACCACCGTTCTGAAAGCTATACAAATATATACTTCATACACACATTTAACAGGTCCATTAAACACACTGCAAGCAGAAGTCATTGCTAGCGAATTTCAAGAGAAAGGAAAAAGTGGTGGACTTGGCAGTGTTAAGTTATTAGTTGGACTCAAAGATCACAGAGGTCTTTTCCAACCTATATGATTCTATGATTTAATAATCAGAAATTCTGTCCTGCAGTTCATCTCGTTCCCATCCACGCTGGTGTTCATACAATGTTCCTTGTTTGGAGAGGGGTCCCTCCAGAAGGCAACTCATCCTGCCTCAGATGCGAACCTGAGCTGGTGGAGAAAAAACTTGTTGGTGATATATTGGGTGTTCAGGTGTCTGAGAGAGATCATGTCCTCGAAGGTAGAGACATGAGTCTCTGAATAGTATGACTGCCACCTGACTGCAAACCTCTACAGTGTGGACCTCACAGTAGTCCTTTGGGATCCTTCTTTAGCTCATGGAAAGCAAAAAGCCACATCTAGGAAGCAGTTAGCCTTTTGTGCTTTTGAGACCTATTGTAAGATACCATCATGACTTAGAAGTGCTCATTTTCTGCTCTACATAGGAAATCCAGACACTGAGAAGGGACACAGACATCTGAATGGTATAAGCACAGAGCTTGAATGAGATATGAGCACTTGACACCAGGAATCTGTGAAAAGTTATCCCAGAAAACCTATCAGCAACTCCCAGGAATGAGCTAAAACACAAATCAGGCAAGAGGCCAAAGCAGCTCGTCAGTATTAGAGTATAAATGATAAAAACTCCAGCACAGCACGTCCCAGCAGGAAGGGAAACAGGCAGGGTGTGGCAGGAGCAGTGAGAGAACTTCACAGCCTGAGCTTCAGGCAAACGAGGAACATTCCAAGTGTCTGAGAGAGGCTGTACTAAGAGGCAGCAGCTCAGTTTTCTAATCAGAAGTGTTGGGTGGCACTTGAGAGGCCTTGGAATGTTGGCTGGCCCTCCAGAAGGATGCATATATCTCCTAGGTCCTACACTACATTTTCTGATCCTTTAGAGAGCTCTTCAGCCTCTTTAAAGGAAGGCTACATTGAGGCACCCCTATCTCACTGTTACAGACAAGTCATGAATAGCACATCTACAGGTAGGGATGAAAGCAGAATTCAGACTGAAACTCATCCTCAGTGTGAAAAAACAGGCTGTGATGCAAGGAGACACTATTACAGATGGCTTGAAGTGATCACCCTTAGAGAAGCAGTTTTATAGTGCAACAAGAAAACCATTTACATGGAAGAGGGAAAATACCTTCTGATTGGTGAGAACTCAGTAAATGGCAGCAATGGCTGTTTCTCATAGAATGAGCTTAGCTCCAGGAAGCCTACCAAGAATAAAAGTGCAAGATGCAGGAAGGTGTTTTCTGAGCATCTCCCAGGCCTAAACTTCACGTCTTTGCTTATGAGAACCTATAATTGGAAACATCTCCAAGCATCGGGAGGAAAAATTAAAAGGTAATGGAGATGGAAAAGAAAACTCAGTTACTGTAGTCACTTGCTGAGACTGAAAAGTGCATTTATAAATCACAGATCAGGAATTTGAGAAGCCTATTAGGTAATCCATTCCATACCCTGACAACCTAGGTTTGCCCAGTCTCTGTCCCACATTTAGGAATATCTTCTTCACTCCATGTCACTCTAAACCCTCCCTGTGGAAATGCACCACCCCTCCCTGCTTTCTAAATTCTGGCTGCATCAGGGGATGGATACCCACTGCCTGCAATGACATTATTGGGAAACAACATCCATTTGTGGAAAGAAAAACCTCCCCCGGGAGAGGCTTGTCCATGGTAGGATTTGGTGGTGAGTCTCTGGCCTGTCTTCATGCAGCCTCCACTGATCATCAGCACTGGGAGGGAAACTGGAGCCAATGGGGCACAGCCAGCCTTAAAATCCAGCCCTCAAGGGCATAATTAGAAGAACATCCTTCATGCCTCAACCTGGGAAAAAAATCCCTGACAAACATCTTTCTGAGGGTTCACTCTCTTCATCTGAAAAGAGGATTTTACCTGCTTACTGGTTTTCGCTGTTTCCTTCTGATAACATCCCCACTTAATTCTCCTGCCCCATCCTTCATTCCCCAGAAAACCAAGGGGTGGTTGTTTCACGTTTTTTAAAAATATACATATTTGATCCATCCCTTTAAATAAACAGGGCCTAAACCAAACATGTCCTGATCTATATATAACACAGCAGGTCCTTCAGTTGAAGTTCTGGATACTGACAGAAAACCATGAACACAATTACAGAAGAAATATGTATAGATGGATCATGACATTGGAAAACATTAGTGCTCTGCAGTGTTAGGTCCTTTGAGAGGTTTGGGCCCATTCCTGCATGTCGGGGCCCCATGAGAAGACTATTCACAGAAAGTGCAGGTTAGGAAGAAGCACCTTCAGATGTTAGCAGATATCAATGAAAGTCATATATTATTTGGTTTACAAGGTACCCTGTGAGTAGGACACTGCTCCTGGTCAAGCCAAAGGGAGAAAAACTCCTTCAACTGAGCAGCAAAACATTGGTGTCCTTTAAAATACCTTTGAAGGGTGGAAGAATCTCTCTGAAGGCATCTTCCTACCCTCCCTTGTGTGACATTATCTGTGAAAGTCTCACAAAGGGACTGCTGGTGAAACCGTGAACTTTAACTCCAAATTACAAGCTTTGCTTTCTGGAAAGGCATTTTTTTAATGCCTGTGCCTGAACTCCTTAATATTGCAGGGATGTGGGTGACACAAAAAGATTTAAACAAAATTATATGGCTGTGGAGAGTGAAGTATGTGGTAAACGTTAATATAGAGAGGAAGAGATTGAGGGTTCTTTTTGTATTTTATCTCATTTAAGGTTTTTAATCTGCAGAAGCCTCATTTTCTCAGGTTTTCATCTGGAAAAGGCTTGCAGGAGTGTTACAATAATGTTGTCTAAACTCCTGGTAGTCAAAGGCAGCCCATGCTCCTGCCACCCCACTCTGCCCTGCATCAGTTCCAGTCTGGAGACCAGAAGTCCTGGGAAAGATACCACATCCCCTGGTAAATGCTTCCCCTGGTTCTGCAAGGGCTTTTCAAACAGACAAGTAGGATTTGTGTGACAAAAAAGAAAAAAAAAAAAAAGAAAGAGGAAGAGGGAGAGGGAGAGTAGTGGGGGGAGGGGGAAACCAACTCTGAACTAAAAGCTTAAAATAACAGCTGTTTTCAGATATGGTGCCAAATTCAGTGCTGGCAGCAGTGGGCACAAGGCTGTTGACTTCATGCCCAAGCTTGAACGAAGTCAATGCCAGCAGTGAGTTGGCTCACTGAGTGCCGGGGAAGGCCATGGAGCTTTGTCAACTTTTCCTGAGCTGCCTATGGAGCGAAGAGCAAACTTCAAAGGCATGGTACTCCCCTTTCCTCACCCCCAGCCCACTCCCCTCCTGCCATCCCCATCCTGCAGTTCTTTCACAGCAGCTCATCTAGCCAGGCAGACAGTCTCCTCACAGGCGCCCCACTCTGCCCTGCATCAGCTCCAGTCTGGAGACCAGAAGTCCTGGGAAAGATACCACATCCCCTGGTAAATGCTTCCCCTGGTTCTGCAAGGGCTTTTCAAACAGTCAAGTAGGATTTGTGTGATTTAAAGAAAAAAAAGAAAGAAAGAAGAGGAAGAGGGAGAGTAGTGTGTGTGGGGGGGGGAACCAACTCTGAACTAAAAGCTTAAAATAAGAGCTGTTTTCAGATATGGTGCCAAATTCAGTGCTGGCAGCAGTGGGCACAAGGCTGTTGACTTCATGCCCAAGCTTGAACGAAGTCAATGCCAGCAGTGAGTTGGCTCACTGAGTGCCGGGGAAGGCCATGGAGCTTTGTCAACTTTTCCTGAGCTGCCTATGGAGCGAAGAGCAAACTTCAAAGGCATGGTACTCCCCTTTCCTCACCCCCAGCCCACTCCCCTCCTGCCATCCCCATCCTGCAGTTCTTTCACAGCAGCTCATCTAGCCAGGCAGACAGTCTCCTCACAGGCGCCCGTGTCTCCACGTCCCACCTCCCTCCCACACTTATTGAAGGAGAGAAGCAGGAGCTGCCAGGAAGCACAAAATCTTTCCATTTTCTCCCCTGCCTTTTGCTGGCTGCAGAAGGGCTGCTCAAGGTTGGTGGGCTGGGGGACATCCTATGTTCACCAAAAGGTGTGGTTAAGCTACCTTTTGCTTCTGAAGGGCTGCAATTTAACCACAGGAGTTGTGCTGCAAGAGCTGGGGATGGAGCTCAGCTGGGGATTACTCCAGAAGACATGAGACATAATTGGGTCACCACAATGGGGACAGGCAGAGACTTCCTGAAGTGTCCAAGCTTCACCTAAAAATTATGGTATTCCTAAAGCCAGTACTTGCCGTCCTGGGCAAATTCTGGAAGCCATGAAAAAAAAAAAAAAAACCAAACCCCAACCAACCAACCAACCAACCAACCAACCAAAACAAACAAAAAACCCAAAAAACTCCACAAAAAAAAAAGACACAAAAAATCCCCCAAAACAAAACAAACCAGCAGAAATCACCTGCTGTGTTTGGCTTATTTACAACCACATTGAAGGAGACATTCGATACAGAGGGACAGAGGAGATGCCAATCCCTCTGTGGAAGCAGAAGTGCCTCAGAAGCTACTCTGGACATCCCAACATCTGCACACCTTTGGGGCATGCACATCTGGCTGCAGCTCCCTCTAATGCTCATCTGTTTTTCAGTTCTACCCAAGTAAGTTGCTCCAGCACCTGCTTGGTCAAAGCCAAACTCTCCTGGGAAAGCTAAATGGATTGCAAAAGCAGATGGGGAAGGTGATGGAATTACTAGATGCATTGGCACTAAGACATATCTCATGGAATCCAATGGCTGCCTCACCTTCCCAGACACTGTGACAAAACAACACTGGGCACCACAAAATGATATAACCTCCCCACATACCTTCTTTGCTCCAAGGATGAGAAAATGTTTGCAAAAATAAGAAGCAGGGTCTCATATACATTGATAAGAAAGGCTGCATCTCCACAACAGTCCTGATCCAGCAAAGATCTGGAGCCATACTCTGGCTTTACACCTGAGTAGCTCTCTGGAGCTTAGATGAAAGAGCACAAGACATGAAATTTCACCAGCAAGAGAAATGTATACAAGAGCAAGAGCATGTGTACAAGATGCTGACTGTCTGCACACCATGCTGGATGTTTGGTGGGGCCCAGCACCAACTTCCAACAGACGGGGATTTGGACCACAGAACTCACAAAAATAAGCCAAGCAAAATAAAATAAAGTAAATAATTTCTTTTTTTTTTTACATTCTCCCTGCTTTTACTAATTTTCAGGGCATATTTGTGTTACTCAGAAGTAAATGGCTGAAAATTGTGTTTTTCTTCTGCCCCTCCCCCTGCAATTACATCACACACTGAATCAAAATTAAATTTCCTATCACCTTTTTTATCAGTCACTCCCTCATCTCCAGGCTGGTGAAACCCACCTCCTTATCTCTCCCTTCCCCTCCCAAATCCTCTTTGAAGCCTGCCTCTGGGCACAATGTGTACAAAAATGATGCAGTGGGTGGACCAGTGAGAAAATGCCACAACTGAAAACATCACATAGCACTTTCCTCCTTCTTCATCCTGTTCTTTTTCCCCACCTCTCTGTTCATGAGCAAGAGAAGGAAGGAGCAGATTTCAATTGTACGGCACCCAGAGCTGGGAGAAGCAGGTCTGAGATATTACTCAGTGTTTGGTACTCTCTTTGCCAAGAACTTATCCATGTAATTTCTGAGGACAGTCTCTGAGCCCCAAGAAAAAAAGAGTGATGGGGAGTGAGAAAAATTAGCCTGTGTTTCCATAGGAAAATAAGGGTGGGGAAATGAGGAGAAGCAGCAAACAAAAGAAAAATCAAACATAATTTTGTGAATTTCCAGCTGCCAGCATCCCAGTTGCAAAGTGCTGTGGATAGAGAGTGCAGGTCTCTGCCAGGTTTTAAACAGGTGTGAGGGGAGCTCAGTGCTGCATCTGCATGCCATTCATGCTTCAAATACCACTTTAATCCCAGCTTTCATCTTTCCCACTCACTTTTTGATAGGGCGGATATGTCTGCTGGGAAGTAGAGGAGCAGCAACTGTGGTGTCCTGCGTCCAACTACTTCTCACCCCCCTCATCCCCAAAAGCAACCCTTGCAGCTTAACCACTTAGCAGTCAAAAGGCTGCTTTTGACAGCAAAGCTATTAGGGACCTTTCCCTGCCTCCCAGCATTTTTCACGTCTGTGGCTTGTCACCATACTATCAGGTTCCTTCTGGAGCTCATCCCACCCCTGCCCTTCGAAAGAACCCAAGCCCTTCACCCATGATTGAGTATCTTGACTAAGTGGGACACCAATGCCAAGCATATGGACAAGTCCCTCCAGTCAGTCATGGTTCTACACATAAAAGCCCTGCTGAATCAGGGCACCACAAAACAGCTTTGTTTCTGTGCTGCATAGAAATAAACATTGCAAAGGAGTCCCATGGACCTGTTGCTAAATGTCCTTCAGGAAGGAGATGCCTGCCTTTCCTGGTGCTGGATATAGGCAGAGCTGAGAGCCCAAATACTGGAGGAAGTTGGCAGAAAGAAACAGCTGGGTTATGTAATTGAGCTCTTACTAACTACTACAACAAGGTGTAAACCCAAGGCAGTGAAAAGCAAACCAGATCCTTACTCTCCTCTACTTCCAAGATGGTCCTTAGAGTATGGAGACAGCAGATGAAAGATTATGGAATGGTTTGGGTAGGAAGGAACCTTAAAAATCATCTATTCCTATCTTCCTGTCATAGGCAAGCATGCCACCTTGAAAGATGCCCTAAAGCAGGTGACTATTCCTCCCACCTGACCAGATGCATTTAAACACCCTATGGAGAGATTCACTTTGTTTCTCTTTATAGATATAAAAGGCGGATGTGTGGTTTCCAGCAGCTCCCTGCGGTACACAGCATCACCAGAGGCTATCACTTACATTTCTGTTGGATGTCCTGTTTGGAGAAGATGAATCGCCATCTGGAAGATCCTCTCTTCCCTGACTGCATGATGGGGAGTAAAAACATTCCAGTGGGATACCTTAATTTTCAGACATCCAAATTTAAGCCTCTATAAAAGGTGGCATGAGTAGAGCTTCAAGTGACAATGATTGGAACAGCAGGATGGCAATTAGACATAGCATGAAGTCTGTGGCAGAAGGAGCAGCAAAACAGGAACCTCTTGTCCAAGTTTCACCACCTATCCCAAAGATCCTTGCTTCAGCACACTACAGATTCTTCCTGACATTGCATATTATTGTGCCTTTTTTCCCACCAAAGATGCTCGTTTGAGGCAAACCCATATTCCCTTACTTATTTTGTGCCCAGCTCCAAACCCAAGTGAAAAAGACAGATCACTTATCAAGGTTGTGAAACCAGATTGGCTTTGGAGTGGCCTGTTTGTTTATTTTGCAGCAAGCAACTAACTGATTGCTTGTTTAAGCAAAGAAATGAGATGGTGATGTTTTCACTTCAAGGAAACTCAATCCTTACTTGACCATAGTCCCTGGTATTTCTTCACCCTCCTCACCCCTTCCTCACCTCATTTTTAACACCCTTCACAAAATCCAAAGGTTAAAAGGTCCAGAAAAACACCATGTTATCTGTCAAGCATCCCTTGTGGTTAGAGATGGGCAGCATTATCTCATCTGCCATCCCTACTGCTCTCAGCTCCTACTCAGCACAACCAGTGGTCCTGGTGGGAGAGTTTCCCAGCATAGCAGGAGCCCATGCTAGAAGCTTTATTAAGTGGCTCATGTGAGCATTCAAGTGTGTGCCTTTCTTCCCTTGGTATCAACGAGGAGAAAAAAACCCAAATGAGCCTAAATCATGCATATTTTAGAAAGAAGACGGAGACATTGTTAGCATAAGCCCCTAGTACACACACTTGAAATCAATCAATGCCTGGAGAATTGCAGTGCTGCTGCTCTTTAAACAGTTTACAGCATGCTTCAAGCAGCAGTTGTACAAACAGGTAAGAGACCAGCAATTTCTACAAAAACATTAAAAATGCAGAGATAGAGCCAGATACTTACATCCATTTTATCCCATAGCAAAGCCCTGTCTGCAGAATCAACAACAGAAAACCAGCTAAGAAAAATCGCAGACTTGGCTTCATTTTCTCCACTTTCTCCTGCTAGCCAAAGGAAATCAGCTTCTCCAAAAAATATTTTTTTTTAAAAAAGGAGTTTTCTTAATATTTTGTGCAGTGTATTTTCCTTCAGTTTGGGTATTGCTCGTTCTTGGAGACGATCAACCTGAAAGGAGAAAGAGAAAGAGCCGTAGCTACGGTTAACTCTGAAGTTTAGCGAGTCACTGCGAGAGAGAAATCTATTATCCAAATTGCAAAGGAGTGGCTTATGAATCAGGAAAAGGTTTGGATTATCCCTTCTCAGTCCTCTCCCTTGCCAAGCCTTGATACAACCTTTCGAGTCAACAGACAGACAAACCGTATGGGTTGAATTACACAGAGTTATGGTCTGATTGTGTGTTTCCATTTAACCCTGCACATGGCAAGACTTCATTTGCTGCTTCACTTTAGTGAGTTTTTTTCCTCCCCCTCTCCAAAAAGTTTGTGCAACTGCTTAGGAAGAAGAAGAAAAAAAAAAAAGACAGATCTTTAGATTAGCTCAGATCTTCAGCTATTCATCTCTCCAGATTTCTTTTTCCTTTCTTTTTGTGCAGAGAAGACAAATAACAAAAACTGCATTTCCCTGCTTAATGCAGGTGCCCTTGCCCTGCAGATGTTTCTCTCTGATCTGTTACAATAAATGTGTTTTGCTCTTTACATTTTGCTTTTCTTCTCACCTCATTAACTCTGCCTCTCACTTCTTCCAAGTCCTTGGCACCTGGAGCTCACGGAAAAGGCTGCAACTTTGTAAACATAAAATCCCATTTTTGTCTCCAGGGAGCAGCCTGGAGGAGACAAAAAAGCTCTCAAGGATACCCCTACATCCCTTTTCTTTTTGTTGTTTTTTTTCCTTTTCAGGCCAAACAGATAAACAAACCAGATGCAGGACTTAAATCCTTGGAGAGGTCCTCTCTGTCTCCAGGGCATGGCTTGCTTATTTTAGCAGCAGTATTAATAGCAGTAAATGGGTTTCCCTTCAGTTATTCACTTCAGACGCTGCTCCAGGCTGCTTTTTGTGGTCTTTGCAGTGGTTTCCCATCCCATGAGAAAGACAACAGTAAAATAAACAGAAAAACCTGCCCACCACATTGCATCTCTGGAGGCTCACAACTCATTGCACAGCACACTGGCATACCCACACTGTCACTGTTCATCCCCCATAACACCCCCTCAAAGAGGTTTGGGAAGGGACTGGGAATGGCTGGAGCAGTCAGCTTCACTTTGGGAAACCTCTTACCCTGGGAAAAGGGTATCCTACCTGATCTCCAGCTCTGGATCTGCCCAGCTGCAGCTTTCTGCCTAAATATTCCCATTTGGGGAGCAATTGGGTTGGGGGGAATTAATATTTCTGAGTGTCTTCTCTGCCATCTGCAGCATATTTTTCTATTCAGGCTGCTTTTTGGCTGTCCCAACCCCAGTGCCTGGTGTAAAGGGTTTCTAGAGAATTGCTGTTATTACAAAGGATTTTAATAACCTCTAGGGGCAAGTTCCTGGCTCCCTTGAAGTCCAAGACAAAACTGACTGCCTACAAGGGAGGCAGGATTTCATTGTCATGGATTGTTTTTCTTTAATGCCCACTTGGATTTGGGTTTGATGCATCCCTTGAAAGCAGTGCTCCCATGAGCATCCAGGCATACATGCTTCTTGTTTCAGAGTATTTCTATATATTTTACTCTTTGGGAGCCCTTTTCTTCCCACTGCTCTACAAGCACACTGAAAACCTTCAGCCTTTAATCCTGCCCATGCCTTTCAGTGTCTATTTCGATATTTCAGACCCCTTATCTCACCCCTGTGAACTGCTGGACTACACAAGAATTGGGTGTAAAATGTCTCAGATGGTCTAAAACACTCTCACTAAACCTGACCAGCCAACACCATTCTCTAGTCTCCCCCCGCCCCCCGCCTTGAAAAAGTCACAGTTTGGGATTTTTTCAGTCCCTGGAGTAGAAGGGAAATGATCTAATTCCTCCATACCTACCCAAAGAACTGCAAGCTTTGCATGCAATTGCACCCCTTTTATTTGGAGAGGTAATAATGCATTTTTCCACTCAGTCCAACACAGATTACACTTGCAAGAGCAATTTGCAAGGAGACAGGCAGGACACACTTTGGGGCAGATGAGATGTTTACAGCTCTGGTGAGCTCTGGGTCACTGATCAAACCAACAGCAAGTGGCCTGTGGACTCCTAAAAACAGGAGCTGCTTTTAACTCAAAGCTCTCTTTTCTCTTTCACCTCAAGGCTGTTTGCAGTCAGCCACACTCTGGCACACAGAAAACACTCCCATCAGACACTTCCAAGACAATTTGAACTGTACATAGAAGTGTGAGTATTCAGCTCACATCTTCCCAGTTTTCCAATCCAGGAAACAAAGACATCCACCTGACTCTGCTGCCAGCCTGCAGCTCTCTCCAAAAAACACAGTATCCTGGTTTAGGGGTAGCACATCCCCAGATGACCTGCAGTGAGGAGTGGGAGCAGAGAAAAGGAATAGAGGGTGGTGGAGCTGATTCCAGCTGCCGGGTCTCACCACTCCCTTGCTGCCTTCTGGGTCTTCCTTCTTCCCTGCAGCCCCTGGGTGTCCCCACTGCCCTGCAGCCTCTCCGACTCCTCTCTCCTTGCATTGCCCTGCACATTTGCAGCTCCATGTCCCCCCTCTGCCATCAGCCCCTGGGTCTCCAGTGTCCCTTCCAGCTCTTGGGTGCCTGCTCTCCCCTGCAGCTCGTCGGGCACGGGTCTCTCCACCCTTTGAGTCTCACTCTCCCCGGGTCCTGCCCTGCTCCTGCACTCACACTTCACCTTGCCGAGTGTCAGGTCTCTTGATTCAGCCTCCGAGTCTCCTCCTTCCTTGTTTTCCCCCGGGTATCCCCTCTCCCTTGCAGTCTCCAAGCCTCCCCTCTCCCTCGCATTCCCTCAGTTCTCCCTGCCCCATGCATCCTCCCTTTTCCTTGCAATTCTCCGTGTTTCTCTTCTTGCTCGCAGTCTCCAAGCCGCCTCTCTCTCTGGCATCTCCTCGGTCTGCTTTGCAGCCTCTAAGAATCCTCTCTCCGTCGAACACCCCAGCGTCTCCCTACTCCCATCCATCCTCCGGGATACATTCCCCTCTCCTTGGAATTCCTTCCACGCCTCGCAAACCCCACTTCTTGGCCAGCCCCGCACCTTCGGCGTTCCGAGGGGCTCCACGGAGCCGCTGTCCCCTTCCCACCTCTCCCGACAGCGGCTCGCACCCGCTGCGGTCCGCGCTTACCTCCGCCCGGGCCGGGCTGCGCGGGGAGCGGGGCCGCTCTGCCGGGGAGGCCCCCGGAGCCGCCTTATATGCGGCCCCCTCTGCTTTGATATGCGGAGTGATGTCAGCTCGGATTAGCATAACAAAAGGCTCCGCGGCCCGAGGATGCCCCCGCGGGCAGGCGCGGGCCCCGCGGGGCTCCGTGCATCCCGCGCCGCTCCCCATCGCGGCACAGCCCTCGGCAGCGGGGCCCGGCGGGACTCGGCGGTGTCCTTCTAATGAGAGGTTAATGATTAACAGTGATTAGCGACAGAAACAGCGAGCCGGTGTTTCCGCGGGAGCGCCCGGCGCTCGGAGCCGAGCGAGCGCTGCCCCGGGAAGGGACAGGGACACTCACCGCGCTCTGCCAGGGAGATCTGGCTCCTCTGAGAGGGTAGGGCACTGCCCGGGGAGTCCCTGCTCAGGTCGGAGCTCAGCACGTCCCGCTGTCAGCCCGCGGGTTCCGCAGCCTCTCCTCTGATCCGTCTGTAATCGGCGGAAAGAGGTGTTGAGGTCTGGTTTTTGCTTTCAGGTCAGCTCTTGCTTTCAACTCCTTCGGGCTGGAGGCTTGGTGATTGCCTGCTAAAGAAAGAGAAAGAGGAAGGAAAATATAATGGAGAAAGGAGAAGGAGAAAGGAGAAGGAGAAAGGAGAAGGAGAAAGGAGAAGGAGAAAAGAAAAATGGAGAAGAGAACATCAAAAGAATAAAAGCAAAAATGAAAAATAAAAAATAGGTTAATAAAAAGGAAGATATTTTTTTTTAAAAAAAAGAAAACAACAACAAAAAAGGACAAATGAACAAAAAAAAGGAAAAAGAAGGAATATAAAAGGAAAATTTTTTTAAAAATAGAAGAAAATCCTTAAGATAAAAACCCTGTAAGAAAGAAAAGCACAACTGGCTTCTGAACTTAAGGCCTCATGAGTCTGAATTTAAGACATCTGTCAGCTATGGGCTCTGAAAAAATGGCTGCTGGTTGCAAAAGTACTTGTGAATTATTTTTTCATTTGGTTTATTTGTGGGTTTCAGGTGAAATAAGAGAATAAATGCTTTAGTTCCTGGATCAAGACACTCAGAACAGTTTCCTTATGGTCTATTTTCAGGACAGCTACTTATATAAGATAATTTTTTTGTGTCTCTGTCCCTTTGCTGATTGCATTCATATACCCAAGTCCTGTGTGAACTGCAAAGAACCCTGTGTACACAATCCCAAATTCCCAAAGCCATTATATTATTTGTTTAGTACCAGGTTTTGCCAGCAGTTTTGCTCAGTATGTCCATTTTTCTTTGTGTGACAGTTGCCCAGAAGTACTCAAACTGCTCCAAACTTCCATTTCCCTGGCCCTTCTCCCATCCCAATGACTCCCAAAAATGTGTACCTATAAGGAGGAGGTGTTGTCAGTGTTCTCCAGGGAGGACTTATTTGCATGGGGAAATTGCCTGGTATATCTATTGCAGTCTGGATTGCTATGCAAATGCTCTAATTTATGTATAAATAGCCTTTTTCAAAATTACCTTAATCTTTAAAGGGCAATAGGGAAAATGCAGTTGTTATTAGTCAACAGGTGTAGAGGCAGTCAGTTGTGTCAGTTGTAATACTCATGATTATGCAGTAGGCACCTGCTGTGCTCAGAACTGTGCAAACACAGCTAGATGAGTCCTTCCATAGGATCTTCATTGTCTTAATATTGGTGCTGAGAGGTGACTTTATAGGCGCTGAGAGGTGATGGTGTGGAGTAGTATCTTGGTTTGAAAAGACAGGTGTCTGTTAAGGAAAACGGGAGCCTCCCTTGAAATGAAAATGCAAACCCCCTTCCTCTGAATTATTATAGTTTTGAAATTAAAGGGGCTCTCAGGCAAAGTAGGAGTAGGAATAACAGTTCTTTACTAGGAATAAAAAAAAAAAGTAAAGATAAAAAAAAGAATGCAGTAATACAAAACAACACTGACAGAGTCAGAATATGACCTGACACCCTGTTGGTCAGGGTGTTGGGAGCAGTCCAATTGAAATGGTGTGGCTGCATCCTCCTGGAGCAGCAGATGTGGTTCTGTTGGAGCAGTGATGCTGTAGAAGGGTGTAGTCTTCCTCTGAAGATCCAGTCATGGTAGAGATGGGCCTGGTCTTCCTCTGGGAATCCAGTGGGAAAAGTCTGCTTGTGGTGTTCCAAGTCTCAGATTATATCCAGGTAGGAATGCTTGGCCCCTCCCCCTGGGTGGAGCATCAGAATGGGATGCTGTAATTTTATCAGGCATGCAGTGACACTCAATGGCCCATTAACAGCAGATATTTCCCAGAAGGAGGATTGGTCATGGAAGAGATAAAGAAAACTGCTCAATTAACAGAAGAAACTGCCGCACCTCTAACAGCTGGCAAATAGAGTACACACCCCCAGCCACCTCTTGCAACCCAAGACAAGTAGGAATATGGAAAGAAGGAAATGGTTCCAGTCTGTGTTGTTTTCTTGAGTGCTAACCGTTTGTTAAGGCTCAGAATCATGGAATCATTAATGTTAGAAAATCTATGTAAGGTCATTGAGTCCAGCACTGGCAGGGCCACCACTATACCATGTCTGACATCAGAGGAATCATTAAAAAAATGGCACTGGAGTACAAGTATCTTCTTGCTGCAGTGTCCACGGGAGCTACTTGTCCCTGTGTTCATCATGACAGAAGGACATAGGAGATACAAGTGAAAAGGTGGGACAAAGAGTGAGAAACCAGAAGGATATATACATGAAGGATACAGGATAAATATGCTCTGTGCTATCCTCATGTATGCAGGAAGTTATTCAAGTAGAGCCTTGGGAAATTTAAAACCACTCCAAACCTTTAACCTGAGAAATTTTGTGCACAGTCAAACCCTCAGGCTCGATATGCCAAACTATTTCAGCACATATTTAAATACTTTTTATATGACATGCTGTGTTCTAAGTGCTTTGATGAATCAGGGAAGTCCATGGTTGAATTGTTGCAGTTTTTTTGTCTCCTGATCCTCATCCTCTGGTAGCAAAGCACGGCTGCTTTGGGGGCACCTGGGAGGTTGGGAGCTGCCATGGTGTGCATGTGAGGGTTTATTTTACTGGTCCTGGGTGCTGAACCAGTAATCTAAATCTACAAGTTTAACAGTCATTAGATGTCATTAAAAGTCAGGAGTCCTACTGCTTCTGTGGGTCAAAGCTATTACCATTTACATCAGCAGCAGAGAATGATTCACAATTTTTAATGGGATTTTCCTAAAACAGAACTGGTCTAACAAATGTGACAATTAACAAACCAGAGTTGGGGCTTTCCATTGGCATTTACGTCCCAGGTAAGCAAGTGGGTATTGAGCAAACAAACCACTTTGGCTTTTCAGTGTGCAAAGAAAGATTTTACAGAGTGTGGCTGTATCCATCCATTAATAGAAAGAGAGGCAGCTGGATGAGATTTTCTGGATTGCATTTCTTAACTGACCTAGTTATTAGACTTAAATGTTCAGAAAAATCATCATCTTGCTAATCTTTAGAAATCTGTTTGGGGTGCTGTAAGAAATTCATTATTATGTCAGAAAGATAACTGAACTGGAAAATAAGGCTTTATTGCCATCTGTTGCACCAGGTAACCTCCAAAATGTGAAGACCTCTCCAAATCTACCAGCAAGTCCATGCAGGATTTACAAAGTGTCTATGGAGCTGGGACACAGAATCATAGAATAGTTTAGGTTGGAAAAGCCCTACAAGATCACCTGTCAAGCATTCCCCCAGCACTGCCAAGCCCACCACTAACCCATGTCCCCAAGGGCCGCATCCATACAGCTTTTAAATCCCTCCAGGCATTGGGATTCCAACACTGCCTTGGGCAGCCTGTGCCAGGGATAAACAACCCTTTGGGAAAATAAATTTTTTGTAATATCCAACATTAACCTCTCATGGTGAAACTTGATTCTGTTTTTCTGGTCTTATTGCTTGAAACCTCAGAGAAAAGACTGACCCCCCCATCTCCCTACAGTGTCTTTTCAGGCAGTTGTAGAGAGTTGCAGAGTGGTAGAGAGGCTTTAGAAGACTGGCATCAGTCTTAAAAGTTACCATGGACAGCACAGGTGAGACTCCCTGCACCCTGACTTCAGCTACACCTGTCCCTGACTTCAAATGCAACTCAGCAGGAGTGACTCTCACTCAAGGAGCCCTGCAATCCCTTGCAAAAGTCCTAAATCTGTTGCAGACTTTCCCAGACTCGTGCTATATAAACTATAACTCTGCCATTGAGAGCAAGATACCAGACAGGTGCTGAACTCAACTGGACTCCAAGCAACCACACAGAGGAATATTCTGTTACTAATGCCCTAGGACCACCCATGCACCCTTCAGTAGCATTTCCTTTATCATTTGGTTTTATGTGTGTATCTGCTCTCTCTCTCTTCTTCCATGCCTGCCACAGAAGCAGACCTTCCATGGATGAGTCAGGAAAACATTATACAACTGCAGATCCAGAACTCCACTGGAAACTCTGTTGGAGCAGAGGTCCACGCTCATTCATTTAAAAAATCTCTACAGCAGTGTGCTGAGTCATGGCACTCTCCAAATATTTAATGATATGATACAATTATGTGTATTGTGGGGTGTGGTATTACAGTTTTATCAGTGAATTTCAAGATACTGTGTGCTATGAATGAACTACAAAAGCTATCATCCTCCCAAAGGGGTTAGAGTAGCATTTCACCCAGCATTAGCGTCTGTTCTACATGTGGCAGCCAAAGGAGCCTTGGATAAATGCTCCCAATGATTATTTTTTTAAATTGTTTAGCTGGTGCCAATGGCTGGAAGGTGCCCAAGCATGTGACAGGATGCCATTCCTACATTTTAAACAAGTAT